ATGGAATTTTGAAATGAATTTTTAGCTTTTTATGCTTAATTTTCAGGAGTTAATGGAACCAGAATCACCTGAAGAGGACGGGCAAGCAAGAAAAGATAGTACTTGTGTGATCATTTAAAGTGATTTCTCACGCACAAGAACAAGTAGCTTACAGACGTAGCAAAACTGCATCAAACATATTAAACATTTCCATATGTTTGATTTCTTTGTGATCGTTCGAAATGAGATTAATGCTTTTATCGGTGCCTTGGCGACCTGAGGAGAGTATGTACATCTAAAACAAGAAGATCAAGACATTCTCTGTTGGCGGAGGACCCAGGGGTGGGTGCAGGGGGGAGTGGTGGGTGCACACACCCTGCACCCATMAGCTTGATTCGTTTCTATCCATCCTAGTGATCCCAGTGTAATGAATAAAAATCTTTTTGCGCTTTTCTAAAGTAATATCATATATACAATATTTTATCACGCCTTTYGAGATGAAATCTGACATTCATCAAGGGCGTTTGACAAAAATGAACCGATTACTTGTGCTTTTCTGATTTTCTGGGCGTTCGGCGATCTATGAGCACGCGGGAGTCCTGTGGAATTCTACACAGCGGATTCGCGTCGHTACGCATGCGTAATTGCTCCGCCACGCCTGCCCAGTTGAGCTGATCGAACGTTGGAAGTTTTCTGAGGTTTGCAGGAAATAGGTCAATACACTGAAATCTAGATGCATTGGAATGGCAAAAACCTATGATTTTCTTTTCAAACTTCTCCTAATTGGTGATTCGGGAGTTGGCAAGACCTGTGTGTTGTTTCGGTTTTCAGAAGATGCTTTCAACTCCACATTTATCTCTACTATCGGTGRGTAGTTGGTTTTTCGCATGCATTTCCTATGACTTATAAAGTRTGTCAATTTGGCTTCCTTCAGAGTTTTAAAGGCTCTTTGTGGCTTAAAGTGACCATGAAACYTTTGCTTCTTAGGGATTGACTTCAAAATTCGAACTATAGAGCTAGATGGGAAGAAGATTAAGCTTCAAATATGGTGAGCAAGATTTGCTATATTATTATGCATGTTKGTTTGCGATCATGAACTGAAAAAGGCGCAGGAAATTACGTYTTTATGACTGTCGATGTCCTCATTTCTTAATTTCACTTTTCTTTTATTATTTGATTRTATTTGAGGCTATTATTTACACGGATAAGTTTCTGTATGCTTGAATGTTTGGACAAACTGGTGATATGTACAGTTGCGTCGATCACTTGCCTGTTGCTTTGATTTCTGTGTATTTTTTTCTTTTTTTGATAAATTGAAAGTTAAGAGCGTAAAGCTCATCGCACGTAGTTCACCTTCAGCCACCACCAATCCCAGAATACCATGTCATTGTAGTTACTCGTTCAGATTGCATTTTGTTGTTTTTTTTTCTGGCCTGTTGCACTTCATTGATGACACTTTTGCGTGTTAAGGAAATCTCGAGTGATTCGTATATTGTTGGTTGTTTTGACTGAGACTGTTTGTGGTTGTTTCCTAACATCCTTGATATTCAAACTGAAATGYCAGTGCATTTTATTCCATGTATTGTGAATATTTATTACTCATGGGACAAAAATGATCAGCTGATGTTTTGTTGTGCTAAATACCTTGRTATCAAAGAAGATTTACTTGTCAATCACGAGCCAAATATTTACACCTCAATTAWAATCATTTGCTTTGTACTGTTATTATAATAAACATAAAAAGATATCAAGATATATTATAACTTTTACAATTTTTTGGTAAAATGACTAATAGACTCTGGTATGAACCTAGGCATATTTGATTTCTTTGTGGTATTGTAACGTCTATTTACATAAGGTGTCAAGGTCCTATATTTGGTCTTAATCCAGGGACTCCCTATTGAGGTTCATATTCTACCCCTTATCACATTAGGAAAATAACCATTAAMCCTTTTGTTCGATTAGAATTTCATCATTTTGACCCCTTGCATGCTTTTTACTCCTAAGATTATTACTAGGGCTCTCTGTTGACTATATATGATTAGTGGCAGGGTGCTCCATTTTCCTATTGGATTTGGACGTGCAGGAGAACCCCTACCCTTTAGGATTCCAGTGCTCCTCCATCATTTAA